TGGCTGAAGCCTGTAATCCCACCACTTTGGAGCTGAGACAAGGCGGATCACGAGGTCAGGAGGATCCGGGCTAACATGGTGAAACCCGTCTCTATAAAAATACAAAAAAACGTAGCCGGGCATGGGGCGGGCGCCTTAGTCCCATCTACTCTGGAGGCTGAGGCAGGAGAATGGCGTAAACCCGGGAGGCGGAGCTTGGCAGTAAGCTTGAAGATTTAACCACTGCAACTTCGGGCCCTGGGCGACAGAGCGAGACTCCATCTCAAAAAAAAACAAAAAAAAGAGTTCAAGACTATTCTGGCTACTATTGTGAAACTCTTATTCTATTAAAAATACAAAAAAAAAAAAAAAAAAAAAAAGCCAGCGTGGTGGCACACACCTGTAGTCCCAGCTACAATTCTCGGCTCACGAAAGCTCTGCCTCCTGGGTTCCAAGAAGTTCTGCCAAAAGCTCCTGAATAGCTGGGATACAAGGCACACCACCACCTTGCCCAGCTAATTTGCTATTTTTAGTAAAGGTCGGTGGGTTTTCACCATGTTGGCCAGGCTTTGGTCTCGAACTCCTTGACCTCCGTATGATCTGCCTACCGTGGCCTTCCCAAGGTGTTGGATTTACCGTTGTGAGCCACCGGCCCGGCCCCTTGCTTCTATTCTTTTGGATGGGATGGGCAGTGGGTTTGTTTGGAGCAAATGGTAACTTCCCAACTGTTTCAGTGTTTGAGGACCCCATTCGTAAGTGTTTTGTGTTTGTTGTTGTTTTGAGATGGAGTCTCACTGTGTTGGCCCAGGCTGGAGTGCAGTGGTACCATTCTCGCTCACTGCAACCTCCGCCTCCTGGGTTCAAGCCCATTTCTCAGCCTCAGTCCTCCTGAAGTAGCTGAGTGATTACAGGTGCCCGATCCACTTACACTTGGCTTCTTTTTTTTTTTTTTGTTGAGACAGGGTTTCCACTGCTTTGTCGCCTAGGCCTAGAGGCAACGGGCATGATCTCAGCGTACTTGCAACCTCCGCCGCCTGGGTTCAAGCAGTTCTTTCTCCTGCCTCAGCCTCCCAAGTAGCTGAAATTAGAGGTGCCTGCCACTACACCTAGCTATTTTTTTTTTTGTATTTTCTAGTAGAGATGGGGTTTCACCATGTTGGCTAGGCTGGTTTCCAACTCCTGACCTCAGGGGATCCATCCACCTTGGCCTCCCAAAGTGCTGGGATTCCAGGCGTGAGCCACCACGCCCGGCTCTTGTGAAGTGTCTTAATCACCTTGTTTTATTGTTCTAAAGCTGGAGGTCTGATCTCAGGCCTGCTTCTGTTTGCTCCTGCTAAGGGAACCCCTGTAGGCAGCCCGGTCCCCACCTCTGCCGGGAGACAACATACCTGGAAGTGAAGTTGAAGTCGGTCCGGCCCAGTGTGCTGCTGTTTAGTAAATATCCTGTTGAAAGTCAAGGAAGAAGAAAATCACCAAAAGTACATTCTAGTGACACCAAAAAAAAAAAAAAAGAAAAAGAACAATCCAACACACAAAACAACACAAAGAGAAGGAAAAAAAAAAAAACAAATGGAAAAAGACACCGACCAACCAAACACAAACTAAACAACCGCAACCACACCACCGCACGCACACACAATCGGGGAGTGGACAAGAAGAAAGAACAAACAAAACACTAGAAAAAAAAAAAAAAAAACCTCTTAGTTCCATTTCGTTTCTTTTTCTTTTTTTTTTTTTGGAGATGGAGTCTCTCTCTGTTGCCCAGGCTGGAGTTTCGCAGTAGCCAACATCTTGGGCTTCACTGCAAGGCTCCGCCTTCCCAGGTCAAGGGAGATTCTCCTGCCTCATCCTCCCAAGTAGGCTGGACTACAAGGTGAGCGTTGGCCATGCCTGGTCTATTTTGCGGCTTTTTTTTTTCCTGCTTCTTGAGATGGGTTCTCACTTCTGCGGCCCAGGCTGGAGTGCAGTGGCCGACCTCGGCTCACTGCAAGCTCCGCCTCCCAGGTTCACGCCATTCTCCTGCCTCAGGCTCGCTGCATAGCTGGGACTGGCGCCCACCACCGACGCCCCGGCTATTTTTTTTTTTTTTTGTATTTTTAGTGGACCACAGGGTTTCACCAGCGTTGGCCCAGGCTGTCTCACAACTCCTGACCTCCAGTGATCCACCCCGTTGCCTCCCAAAGTGTGGGATTCCAACGGCTGAGGCACATGCGCCAGCCACAGCCGTCTGTCTGTTCCTAATCCACGCGCCCTGTGAACACCTTCGGACAGTTCACAGCAACACAACGGTTCCCCACATCATGATTGGCGGGGCCCATTCCCGTGCTCCCTGAGTCTGGGGACCCGTAGGAGGAGCGATCGTTTCCTCCACTCACCTAGATGGACGTGAAGAAACCTGATCAAAGGAGTTTGCCGTCACCGACTTGCACCTGGTTCAGGCCCGCTGCCCGTGGAAAACTGCCCCGACTCAAGCCTCTGCCTCAGTTTACCCAGCTAACTAT